CTTTGCATTGTTTTCGTACACAAATTTTCTCTTTCAATTAATTTTTCCATGTTTTTCTTATTTATAGCCTTGGCTTCGGCCTTAGACATTTTAAAAAATTAGATAATACTAAGATAATACGTAAAATTATTTGGATTGTGCCAATATAAATAAATTATTGTGTTCACTTTAATTTTAATTGCAATAATAAATAAATAGTAAACGTAAACAAGAAATTGTTCAGCTGACTGCCTGACTGGCCGTTGACAGTTGCTTTTGAAATTTAAAATTGGAACAGACTCGCCATCTGTTGGCGTAATCTTGAACCTCTGCTACTGCTTACAGCGGTTTTGTTGTCGCTATAGTTGACTTGAAGATGGCGCGAGTGGAGTGAGCCTGACAGATCCTTATTATTGATTGATCATTCCCGCCAATTTCCGCGCTTTTCATTGGAGGAAAGGAGGAATCCATTTTGTTTTTCTTGCACAAACCATGACGCCACATTGCATTTTGCATTGCACAATATTTTATTATTTTTTCACTGAGCCGTTTATAGAAGGCACTTTTGGGCAAGCTCTGGACACTGCAAACAACACATATCACCTTTTTGCTTCATACTTTTCACTTCGCGGCACTTTATCCGGTTACGATTGGACCAAAAAGAATGTTGGATTCTTTAAAATAATGAGAGTGGACTGTATTATTAATATATTTACATTTATTTACACACACGACTATTTACAATTTGCATTTTCTCGTTTTTGTTTACGTTTTTAGACTTATAGAGTCTGTAAAAATGGTCATATAGGACCTGCCCAGAATTATCTGGTGCGCTCGGTGAGGTTCGATTTGACACTGACTGTTCCCGTTGGTTCACTCGCGTAGATGCCGGAAGCCACTTTACCAAAAACTTTGACAAGTGATTTTTGACACTGTTTGACACATACGCGCACACTTCCGGTGCATACCGGGAAAATTAAAATTTGAATTTTAAATTTACTGTTGGAATATTGTTTCCAACACTAGCTTCATTGTATTTAGGTCTTTTCTGAGAAGGCAGTTTCCTGTCAACAATCCAACCACATCTCTCAATTGTTTCCTGCTTAAGCTAAGCAGTTCTTCTGTTCTGCTCTCAGATGGTCCTTCCATGAAGAGTTTGAACTGCCTGAGTCCAGGAAGTCCCATCCAGAGTTTTTTGTGTTACCGCTATAAAATAATACCAACAAAAATTGGGACTAGTAGGTTTTGAAGCTGCGTGACCTTGAACTTTAAAAAAAAATTGGCTGCGGCGCGATTCATTCACAGCCCCCAAAATCAAATACTGATCTGGCAGGCGTGGCAGGCCGGGCCGGTGCCAATGGTTTCCCGGGCCGGTTTTATGCTCCCCATCCGCCCCTGACGAGTTGCGACTGTTGCGAGCGAACGCCAACGAATCTTAGTTGGGGTTCGCTTAACCGTCCACACTAAACAAAAATTCTTCGAACGAACGCATTCGTTTGACCTCTTTAAACTCAGCCCCCCTACATTCAAATTTTTGACTTCTTTCACTCTCAATCCTTTGATAAGTGATTGATAGTCTTGTCTTGATGATATATCGTTTGAGAGCGATTTTTTTCAGAGTTATCATCAATTCTTTTTTATGTATATTGTCAGCCCCCCCACTTTGTCAAAAACTACTATTATTTGTTTCAAGTGATTTGTTAAGACTGTGCGAGGTTTGATACTTTAATATCAACGTTTGATAGTTGAGTTTTCATTTATTTTTTGTCAAACAACTTTTCTTTTTGATGTTCTTAGCCCCCCCTTTTTTTCAACAATTATTATTTATTTTTTTAATGATTTTTCACGACTGTGCGAAGTTTGATAGTTTAATATCCACGTTTGTTAGTTGAGTTTTTATTTATTTTTTCTTTTTGATGTTTTTACCCCTCCCATTTCTTCTAAAAATTATTATTATTATTTTTAAATGATTCGTCACGACTCTGCGAGGTTTGATAGTTTAATACTTAATATCAACGTTTGATAGTTGATCTTAAATCGTCATTCATTATTATTATTAAGGTAATTTTAATTAATTGCATTTTTTCTACATTTAATTCATTATTGGGAGAGCCTCGGGAAGAGCTCGAGAGACCGTTGCCAAATGTATCGTAATGATGAGTGCTAGTCTTTGTATGTTGGTATATTTAACGAAAACAAAACAGAGCTAATCCAAACTAACCTGCCCTCGTAATGAATGCTAGTCTTCATATGTCGGTATTTTAGACAAAAAAAGCTAATCCAAATTGACCTAACCCGCCCTCATAATAAGTGCTAGTCTTTGTATGTTCATATTTTGGACGAAAAGAGCTCCAAAACTAACCCAACCTCGTGATGAATGCTAGTATTTGCATGTTGTTATTTTAGACAAAAAGAACTAATCCAAACTAATGCGTCCTCATTTTTTTATATTTTGGACGGAAAGAGCTACCCGTCTCCATAATAAGTGCTAGGCTTTGTATATTGGTATTTTGGATGAAAAGAGCTAATCCAAACTAACCCGTCCTCATAATAAATGCCAGTCTTTGCCAATGACATCGCCTTTGCATGTTGATATTTTAGACGAAAAAAATTATTCCAAACTAACCCGTCCTCTTAATGATCTTTGAAAAAAAATAAAAACCCTAAAAAAAATGTTTTGCCTCCAAAGAGAACAATTGAAAAAGTGAGGGGGCTAACAACATAAAAAAAAATTGTTTCATAAAAAATAAATGAAAACTAAACTATCAAACGTTGATATTAAATTATCAAACCTCCCACAGTCAGTCGTGACGAATCATTAAAAAAAAAGTAATGATAATTTTTGAAAAAAAGGGGGGCCTAAGAACATCAAAAAGAAAAATTGTTTGATAAAAAATAAATGAAAACTCAATTATCAAACGTTGATATTAAACTATCAAACCTCGGACAGTGGTGACGAATCATTTAAAAAAAAAGGTAGGCATAGTGGCCGCCACCGATATTCGAGATTCCTACAAAAAATAATTTCTTTGTCGGCGATGCCCAGATAAAAAAAAATCGCAGCAACAGATAAGGGTTAAGAATAAATTTAGATCAAGAGCTATGTTCTGGATTCGATTAAAATACTTAATTTCTTGCATTAAATCTTTGAAAGATATTTTGAGAAAATTTAAAAATAATTTTAAACATTATTTACAATTTACAACAATTATAACCGAATAATTTCAAACCAATATAATCTTGTACTCAAGTGGCTCCTGATACGTGCTCCCTGACTAAATGCAGGCCGGCTGATAATATAAACATAATTTTTTGTAGGATTCTCGATTATCTGTGGCGCGGACTATAATAATAATTTTTTTAAAAAGGGGGGCAAGGAACTCAAAAAGAAAAGTTGTTTGATGAAAAATAAATGAAAACTCAACTATCAAACGTTGATATTAAACTATCAAACCTCGCTCAGTCGTGGTCGTGACGAATTATTTAAAAATATTATTAATAATTTTTGACAAAGTGGGGGGCTGACAATAAACACAAAAAAAGAATTGATGATTATGATGATAAATCTGGATAGAATCGCTATCAAACGACCTATCAGGACTATCAATCACTATCAAACGATTGAGAGTGAAAAAAGGCAAATATTTTAATTTGGGGGGGGGGGGGGGGTAAGTCTACAGAGGTATGTTGGCGATCGTTGGCCCGGTCTGTACGCAGCTTAAAGACAATTCGAAACTTCTTGGCAACATATTTCCTCTAAGGAACTAAAGAAGGCTCAACAGTTCCTTCGTGAGAACAAGATATCTTTGAAGGGAAGAATTACGAAACTGGTACGATGAAAGTCATAAAACATGAAATCAATACTGGTAGTGCTCATCCGATCCATCATCGACGTCGTAGAAGACTTTCCATGACCAAACAACAAGAAGTCATTAGTAAACAGTACCTATACTTGCAGAGGGAGGTGTTGAAGAATCTTCAAGTCCATGGTCATCGCCAATTGTACTAGTAACAAAGAAAGACGGATGTACCGGATTTTGGGTCAGTAACAGAAAGCTTAACGATGTCACTACTTGCCTACCCATTGCCTAGAATTAACAATAATACCCTTATGACATTGGCAGACTCAAATTGGTTTTCTACTTAAGATTTAAAAAGCGGATACTGGCAGGTAGGCATTGACGAAAAAGACAAAGAGAAGACAGCGTTCTCCACGAGAAGGGCTCTGTGGACTGTGTAACGCCTCCACTACTCTTGAGAAGCTGATGGAAATCGTACTACGAGGACTTACATGGATTCATGGAAAGTATGTCTTTTCTACCTTGATGATGTGTTAGTGATGGAAAACACTTTCGATGAGCACTTGCGCAACTGACAAGAAGTATTTCCTGGTATCCGTCAGGCAAAACGCCGATTAAATTACAAGAAAAGTGCACTGTTTCAACATATGTTTTCTTGGCTGTTTTCATCTGAAGGGATTCATACCTACTGACGATTTGTAGGATTTGCTGAGATAGCAGCGCCGTTGCATAAACTTACTGGAGAAAAGTCTATTTTTGATTGGACCCCAGTAGCATAGCTTTTGGGAGGCTAAGGGACGGTTTCTCAATAGCGGGTCTCCTCTGGATTGGTTTAAACTCCAGGGTAAGCGTGTCCATTTGCTATGCTTACCCTGGAGTTATGCTTAACCCAGGGGGTGACCTGCTATTGAGAAACCGGCCCTAAAGGCAGCTTTATGTTCGATTCCTATATCAGGGTATCCACACGTACATGGAAAATTTATTTTGGATACAGATGCGGGTATCGCAGCTGTCCTGTCGCGGATACAAAATGGACAGAAAAGGGCCATTGGACACTACAGTAGAGTGCTTAACAAACCCAAGAAAATTTTTTGCAATGAGGATCACTCTTAGGATATTTGAATTTAAAAAACATTTTTGCTAATAATATTGTTGAATTATATGCCATTAATTATTATCAAATAATCATATAGAATGTAGTTTGAATTTGAAAAATCGTGACAGTATTTTTTTTTCAATACATTTTTTAGGGAAGTGAATTATTTTAATTCAAATTCTTTCTTATGCAAATTTGCTTTTATTAAAATAAAATTAAAGACAGATCCTATATTATATATACTATATGTTATACATTTTGGAACAGAAACAAATTATTTATTACCCCAGCTTCTGCAAAATTTTTGCTAAGAAATTATTCTGAATTTTCCTCTGTTCAAGCATTTTCCGTCCAATTTCAATTTTTTCATCCTCCTTTCTGTCCAAACTATCTAAACAAACCAGAATCTGCTCATATGAGGCACTATGACTTTCCAAGATATTATTGTTAGCCTTGACATTGCTTATCATTGCTTCAGTCAAGTCTCTAACTAAAGGCAAATAATTGGTTGTGGAGGATTCACTTTTCTTTTGCTGTGGATACAAACGATGACCTTTTTTAGAAAAAACGTTGTGTTTCTGGTCCTCATGCTCAGAACCTCTAAGCACCCTCTGAACTAATTTTTCATCCTTTGCCGTATATTTGTGGTCATTTTCATCAGATTCATCATTTCCTTCATCTTGGTCCATATCTTTGTTTAAGCCTCGACGACTCCTCAAATTGCGCTTAGTGCGGCCAACATCCTTTTTAAACTGTGATTTCTCAAACTGTAATAAGTATTCAATTTCACTAAAAAAAAAGGATAATTATATTTGAAAACTTTTAACCACAATAAGCAAAAATAGAACATACTCGTCAAACAACTGCTTCCTGTAAGGAATTTTTTTTCTCCCTTTCCCAGTACGGGAGCGATTCAAACAAGTCAAGAATCTTCTCTTCAATGATTTCCATTTGTTCTCGCATTGTGCTGCTGCATATCTGAAACCTTTTTTCCTCATGGCAAGGCTGCAGTGCTCATATAAAATACGTTTGAAACCAAATTTTGTATCATTTCCTTGCGTCCGGTAATACTTCCTCAAAATTTTCAACAGTTCTTCTGTAGCTGGGTTTGGCCATTCGGTCACAGTGGGTCTTTCTTCCCCTAGAATAAGATTTATCGAATTTAACTCTAGAAACATTTTATTTTGGCACAAGTTTCTTCCAGTGGAGTCTTGAGCCAATTGAAAAATCATGTCAGAAAAACTAACACAAACTAGCCCTATAGGTGTAGGATACGTAGGGCGCCATTTATTTTTGGGGCTCCGGAGGAGAAGCATTGAAATAATTTGAATTTACTATCAAGCAGACTGCAAATAAGACTGCGAACAGTGTATCATTGATCTCAAGATTTTGACAGGGCAATGTCTGTATGTAGGTGTATCAATGTCTGGAGTTTATGAAAGAAAATGCATCAAATTATTGAACACACGAAAACATTCATGAATATTTCACTCGAAGCAGACAATTAATTTATACCAACTACCAAAGAATACATAAAATCAAAACTGGCATATCTTTTGACGCACCCAAACTGTATACCTATTGCCACGCCATATAAGGGTGGGCCAATGGAAAATTTCCACCACGATTTTCTGGATTTCAAATGAAAATCTGGAAAAACGCTCGTACATCTCGATTTTTTATTTGAGGGGGAACTATTTTTCAGTTTTTTTTTATCCCCATAGCTTTAACCACCTAGCTGCCTAGCAAACATTGATTATTGACGTTATATAACCTAGGAGTAACAAGTTATATAATATATTTATATAACTGTTACTTATTTGCAATTATCACTATTCTATAAAGGTACATAACAATTAGCTTGTTAGTAAGTTACATTCACATTATATAACGACAATCAGACAAAGTTATATAACAAAAGTTTGTAACATTAAACAAACTTTTAATATTATAGTTATATAACCCACAGGTATATAAAATATTTATGTAACAAATATCATAAATGTTAGCATTCTAATTCTATAATCGTTACATTGAGAGTTTGTTTAAATATTATATTGATGTTATATAACGACAATATAAATAAGTTTTATAAAAAAGAATTTGTAACTAATAACAAACACTCCAAATGTTGTTATATAACAAAATAAGGTATTAATTACAATGAGCACGTAACTCGTTGCGTCCAATCCAAATTTAATCCACCAGTTCAGGTTACCATATTTGGTCCGTATATTGTATTGTTCATGTTCTGCAGGGTGAAAGAGTGCTGCTTGCAGTGTTGTAAAATTCTCGGTAATTTTCGAACGTTACCGAACTTTCGGGAATGTTTGAGAATTTTCGAGAATTTATGAGAGCTTTGGAGAATGTTGCAAAATCACCTACATAATATAAATTCGGCATTTCAATGTAGGGCTTGTAAAAATGTCTATTGATAATAAAATTTTCCTATTTTTCTTTTCTCTGGTAGGGGTAGGTGAATTTTCCATAAATGTAGATATAACCCTTGTCTAAGTATTATTAATTTATTGTGGAGAAAATGATAGATAATATTTATAAAACTAATACAAGTCTTGTTTCTTGTAAGTTGGTGTAATAAAAAACAAACTAAAAAACAACATAGATGTAAGATGTAGGTAGCAGTGGTAGCACCAAAAAATAAAACTCAAAAATCTTTAAATGCAAATATCTACATAACATAACTACATAAAGTGTTAAGTCAAAACAAAAAATAATATAAAAAACTAAAGGACCCCGCAATATTTAAATGGAAATTGGTTACCCGTGATATTTGGATGAAATTTAAATATGTTATTGGGGATGCCGTAAGCAACATTTTTTACCATGGGCACAACCCTGTATATATGACAGGTGAGGCGTGGTTAGCTGTCAAATATTGGAATCTGATATCCAAAAGCAGAGTTACTATGGCAGATTTTGATGAACAAAAAATCTATTTCTTCTAAGTCGACCAAGTTAAGTCGAAAAATGTCAACCGTTTTAACACCTGTCAAAACCCTGCCGAATGACACCACTCATCTTTTCCAGTTTTTAATATTTTATGTTGTCATTTGACATTTTTAACTTAAATGTAAATTCTGAATTCAAAAATTGAAAAAAAAAGACAACTGTCAAAATGTGACATGCATGAACTTTGTTCAATGTTTTATCACCAATAAACTACCTTAAAACGAGAAAGGACCAGATTAGAGTTTTGTCATTTTTTTTTCAATTTTTGAGTTAGAATTTACATATGAGTTAAAAATGTCAAATGAAAACATAAAATATTGAAAACTGGAAAAGATGAGTGCTGTCGTTTGGCAAGGTTTTGACAGGTGTTAAAATGGTTGACACTTTTCGACTTAACTTGGTCGACTTTTAAATCTTCATAAAATTCCTTTGGATTTTATTTAAAATTTAAGCTAAGATATATCAAAAACGACTCACTCAAATATGATCAGTATCAGTGTGTCCCGGTTTTCATGAATACACCCCGAGATCTCAGTTATTAATAATGCGATTTTAATCAAATTTTGGTGAAGATTGTACGTTAGAAAAATGAACTATTTGACATAGTAAAAAAAATTATTTACCATTGGCGTGCGGTGTTGGGGGGTAAAAAGTGGTTGTATTTTTGGGAAAAAAATATTAGGGCTTATTTTACATAATTTTTTGTATCAGATTAAAATTCAGCATCCCCAAAAACCCCGTAATTCATATTTTCAAAATGACAAGAGCTGATTTTACAAAAAAAAATTAATAAATATTTTAATTAATTTTTTCTAATAAGTTGTTTATTTCTAATTGTGATAACCAAATTACTAATGACATTATTTTAGAATATTGTATTTTCAATATAACAACCCCCTAATTAGAAAGAAACAGCCTTTTGAAAAAATAAATTAAAATATATTTTTATTTTTTTTTGCTAAAATCATCCCTTGAAAAATATGAATTAAGGGGTTTTCGGGGATGCTGATTCTTAATCTGAGGCAAAAAATTATCTAAATTAAGCCCTAATATCTTTTTCCCAAAAAAAACAATACCTTTTCACCCCCCAACATCGCACGCCAATGGTAAACAAAAATGTTTACTATGTCAAATAGTTCATTTTCCTAACATACAATCACCTCCGAAATTTGAATAAAATCGCATTATTAATAACTGAGATATCGGGGTGTATTCATGAAAAGTGGGACACACTGTACAGGGTGGGCATTTTATTAGGGGCCTATGTCTTTTCTCAGAAACTACAGGGTGTACAAAAAAAATATAAATACAATAGTTTCTTGGTTTTAAGTAATGTTGTCAATTATTTGCGTTTTATTTATACAGGGTGTCCCAAAAGTGCTGCACCGACTTCAAAACCAGAATTTTAAATGCAACACCCTGTATGTTATTGCATATTTAGATTCTACGTAAAATTCTGAGTAGATTTCATGTAATATACCCTATACCTAAGTTAAACTGTTTTGGAAATATTGACAGTTGAAAATTGACTTTTTGCAACTTTGACAGGCTGTAGAACCTAAACGGTTAATTTTAGACGAAAACCGATTATACATTCGTGTCTTAGATTTTTATAAACTATCATTTGACACCAACTTTGAATTTAATCCATGATTAAAAATTCCAGTTAAATTTAATCTCCGGTTAAATTCAAAGTTGGTGTCAAATGATAGTTCATAAAAATCTAAGCTAGTAATGTAAAATCGGTTTTCATCTAAAATTAACCGTTTAGGTTTTACAGCCTGTCAAAGTTGCAAAAAGTCAATTTTCAACTGTCAATATTTCCAAAACAGTTGAACTTAGGTATAGGGTATATTACACGAAATCTGCTAAGAATTTTATGTAGAATCCAAATATGCAATAACATACAGGGTGTTCCATTTAAAATTCTGGTTTTGAAGTCGGTGCAGTACTTTTGGGACACCGTATAAATAAAACTCAAATAATTAACAACATTGCTTAAAACCAAGAAACTTTTGTATTTACATTTTTTTTGTACACCCTGTAGTTTCTGAGAAAAGACATAGGCCCCTAATAAAATGCCCACGCTGTACATATATATATTATGGATATATTTGGAATCAAGAAGAAAAAATCTTAAATCTTTTGCTATCTTAAATAGTAAAGGCTGTAGGTATGATGCCAAATATAATCAAATACCCTGTACATGATTAAACAATTAGGTAACGTTTAGAAATGCATTTTCAACGAACTATCGTTTAGAGGGGAGCCAAAATTACCGTAAATTACGGTAATAATGCGAAAGTTCGCCTGTAGGGAAAAGACACTAGCTGCTTGGTTTGTTTTGTGATTTTTTTGCATTTTTGTAAGAACCCTGAAACCTATCCATACTTTATGTAAGTAGAATTTGAATCTGTGCATGCCTGCTTCATAAACAAAATTTTTTCATACTTATTTGTTTTATTTCCATATCCATCTGTATCTATGACATATAATGTTTATTAAAATTTTGATAATTCATTTCCCCGAAACAGCTATAGCACTATTCGTTTTAAATCATATCCATATTTTTTTAAACTAGGTACCTACTACTTGCAGCCCAAAAATTTTGTATTTAAAGTATTTTTACAGGTATAATATTTTCTTGCGGCCGTTGAAAAATATGTATGTCACTATCTGCTTGAAAATGAATGTGGGAACATAGAAAAAGAAGCGCGGAAAAGTACTACTTTCCGCACTTATAGCGAGCAGATTGTGATAGGTAATTCACGCTGCTCGTGGAAAATATTACTGTTACATTTCATTGTTTACGTTATATTAATGTTATATTACTTGTTACAGAATCATTATATAACGCCGAGCATAACGCCTTATTAACCTTTATCAAAAACGTTACAATATAATTATGTCCGTGTTATATAACATGTTACAACAATCTGTACTATTGAAGTTATAAAATTATGTTATATTACTTTGTTATATAACTATTCCATTGCGTCTTAGTAACGTTGAGTGGGAAATAGTAACAGAACCATTGCAGATTTGTTATGCACTGGTAATATTACTTGTTACAGACAAAGTTAGGAAAATATATAACGGTTATGTAATGGTAATATAACGATGTTTGCTGGGTGGGGGGAGATCAACCCCCCAAATTTGAATAGGGGATAG